GCATCACATGGATGGGCTCAATTTACTCCGAGGCCGCCGCCTTTCACCCGCCGTCATAACAGGACAACCAAACCTGCACTTCCTCTGACATCCAGCAGAGGCAGCAGCGAGTTGGTGTCATAACAAACACATTTACAGCCAGAAACATGAACTGTTTGGTCACCTATAAAGTTTGCATTATTGGGGGCGTGGCCTCTTTGACTGACAGGTGGATGGTGACACAGGTGGCTGTAGCTGTTAGCTTCACCTGAACTGCACTTGCTCAGGTACACTTTCTGCTTTTTGGCTTCTTTTGTCCTTTGACCTTCTCTAAAAGCTAAAACATGTTTGTCTGGACGGCAGACGAAGGCTGGGGGGTTTTAGTGAAACTGAAAGTTCTCGGATGATTTCTGAAATGCTCAGCAGCAGCTGCAGGTCAAAGCTTTGAGGCGACTCCACCCGACGGGCAGGATGAGGATGTTTGCACTGCTCCTCCTCCTCCCTGTTTGTTTTCCACTGAACCCTGCGTGACCCTGCTGGTTCCTGCTTCCTTATCTGCTGCACAGTCACCAGGCCAAGCGGGAATACAAATATGCCAGATTATGCCACAGATTACGCTGCTATTTTGAGACAGAGCCCCAGATTAGCGCCGGCCGAGGAGAAGCTGCGGGGTGCAAGAAAGAGTGAAACCTTACGAGCCGGCGTCATCAGCGCTGCCAGCTGTTTATGCTGGCGTGTTTTGGCGTGAACAGTCTCAAACTTCCAAGTCTTCATTTACCATTTGAGTGGAAACTTGAACCGTGCGGGCGCCGGCGGGTCACGTGTTTGTCATTTCCACGCTGTTCTCGTCTCCTTTGCTCCTGATACCTCCTCATCAATTCTGCCTTTCACCACAGAGAAAAACACAGCAAACCGCAGACCGTCCTCATCGCCAAGGCAGAGTCGGCTCATCAGGTGGGCGGCTGTGCAAAGGTGAGAAGAGCTCAGGTGTGTTTGGTCGAGAGGTCACATGTGACCTCCCAGGTGAGAGAATTCGCTCACGAGGAAAACTCAGAAGTGTTAGATTCATGCCGCGAGGTCAGACTTCCTCTTCAAGAAAACAAGCGCCTCTGACAGCACAGACATGTGACCCCGCGTGTCTGTGTGCGCGAGTGTGTGTGTGTGTGCACGAGTGTGTGTGTGTGTGGTGGACATGAAATGAGATCACTGGTTCAAGTACATACTGTTCCCAGCAGCAGAAGCAGGCTGGGCGACTCCCACTTCCAAACATGTGTTTACATTCACATCCACTAA